GGTGTACCTGCAAAAAGCTGGGCCCCTGAGCCAGCAAGATTAGCGAAACGTTTTCTCGATTTCCGAGGCAGGTTTTAGGTGTGTTCTTTGCAGTCATGTTTTTTTGCAGTCATGTTCATGAGGGCATGCGCACCTGCAGTTCGCACGTTTGCCGCAATCTGACAATCACACCCAGCACAGCAGTCATCTGGAGAAGGCAGGCGGGTCAGTAGGAGACATTACAATTGTGGGAGAAGGCTGCCTGACAGGCTGAGTTGGCCCTCTAGCGATGTGACGGTTCCATCGGAGGAGAATGGGCTCCCACGATCAACAGACGGGACGAAAGGATCGGATCCTCGTCCTCCGGAGGTGGCAGTGGGGCCGCTGGTGCAGCCGGAGACGCCTAAGCCAAGCGGAAGCACAGCACCAAGTCTCTGTCGCGAAAATCTTGCAGTGGGGCATGCTCATAGCTCAGCACTCGGCCTCCGTTCCACCTCCACCTGTCGGGACCTGGCAGCTAAGTTGGTTACATCCCCATACACCACCCAAGGCCTTACATGCTTCATAGAACGAGAACCGCGCGAAGCATGGACTCTTTTCTGTAGTACAGCTGAGACCAGCCGATCACTCAACAGCTAGCAGTCAGCAGATCGGCTAAGTCTCTGCCGACTGACCCGTCTCCGAAAACGGTTTGCTGACCCTGCTTGGCGTCGCGCATCCTCTGCCGCTGGCGATTCGGCTGGCATGCTGCCTCGGAAAGCCAGGCTGCGAGAAAGTCTTCAGACCGATCAAAAGAGTGGAAGGCGAAACGGCACTTTTACTATGAAAGGTGTCACGAAAAGTGCGAACTCGAATTTTTGAAAGCTTGAACATATCAATGGCAGAACGAGATTCTTGGGTTTTAACGTTTTCAAACATTGGAGAACGAGAAATTCGAAGTTCTAAAGCTTGAAAGTTTCGAGATTGAAAACAGGCACGAGTTTGGAGTTTGAATGTTGGAACAGGAACTCAGTTAGAGAGTCCGAAGCCGTGTCCTGTGGGAATCAGGTTTGTGATGCAGGGTGCTAGTATAGCCTAAATCAACACCATCCAACCTGAAGCAAGGTTATATGTACCGTAATTCCGAAGACGAGGCAAGTTTGACATGTTGCATCTGTCGTCTTCGCCTAATGCGGGGGGCGAGTCTAACATAGAGGCGGCATCAACCGATCGAACAATGAGCCGGCGGGTATGCAATATTTGGGATCAACCGTCCTGGCCAGTGAGGGGCTGGGTGTAAGATATGGGATCAGTCGCAACTACCTACCGAGGTGCGGATTTGAGACACCAAACCAACCGCCATCGCAAGGCATACTCAGGGGCCGGGTTCAAGATACCTATGAGCTTCACCGCCATCGCCTCTTAAGGAGGCGAGGTGTAGATATGGGATCAATCAAGCTCCTGGGGAGAGGGCGAGTTTAAGATATGGGGCCTCCTTAATGAGGGGCGGATTTGAAATGCGAAATCAACTGCCATCGCAGGGCCTACTGTACTAAGGGGTCGGGTTCAAGATACGAGATGAAGCGTCGGCTTTGAAATGAGCTCAATCGACATCGCCTCTTGAGGGCGAGTTTTTTCCCTTGGGTTTTTTGCTATCGCCGATAAGGGGGCCGGTTTCAGATATGGAAAGACATAGGATCAACTGCCGTCGCTTAATGGGGGACGGGAGTAAGGTATGAGATCAACCGTACTCGCCTGATTAGAAGACAGATTAACCGCCGTTGCATACTGAGGGGGTCGGGTCAAGATATGAGACCAGCTAACGCTGGGGTCGGGTTAAAGAAAAAGGCATAACTGCCATCACTTCATGAGGGGGCGAGTTTCAGATATGGCACCAGTTGCGCCTCGAATGTTCAAACATTCGAACTCGACAGTCGGTGCACTGCCAACGCAGCCCGAAGGTCGAAGCCCTGCTGCGATCCGGTCTCGCACCCCCTCGCAAAGGCACCGGGCGCGCTTCAATCCTTCAAAATGTTGGAAACTTCCAAACCCTCGAAGTCTCCAAATCACGAAATTCTCGACCTCAATGGCCATGTCCAAACTTTCGAACTTCACTACTCTCGAACTTTCAAATAATCGAAATCGTCGAACTCTCGAAGCTTCGGAACCTGTCAAGCCTTCGAGGTTGAACCATTGGAAATTCCGAGCTTCCAAAGATCTTAGTTTGACGCTCGCTCGCTCGCGCGTACCAAGTCAAAACTTGAAGCTTTCAACTCTCAAACTTTCAAAGCCCGAACGACCTCGTTCCGGACACCATTCCTACCGCTTCCCTGTTGTTTCCCCTCTCGCATGGCAGGAGTCTGCATTCAAGCCATCTTCAACGGCAAAAATCCAGTTCTGATGACAGCAAATCTGATGTTCAGACTTTCCATCTTCGCTTTTTCAGCGCACTATGCACTATACAATGGTTTACTCAGCATGTGGAGCGCTCTCGGTTTGTGCACTCGCCATCTCTCTTCGACAATCTTTTCTTCCTCTACTGCAGACAGATTCCAGATGCTTCCCTGCTAGGAAGGCAGGAAGTAGGAGGAAGACTACAGTGACAACGAAGCTGCTGATATTATACTTTGCCTACCGGTGTCATGTCCAATATTGCTGTCACGTCACCTGGTGTCGGAGTCGCCATGGGCCCCAGAAGCTCGACCTGGCTGAGATGCTTCCAGGCTCCATGGATTGCAGGCGAAGGCAGTATCCTGCGAAAGGTTGCTTACATGAGGCAGAAGGGTGGAATGGAGAGCGGGAGCGACGCAGGAAAAGCATGGCAAAGCAATACAGACATAGGGTTTTTTTGTGATGCTGAAGCCGGAGGCCCTCGGACCTTGCGCTCGAACAGGCCAACGAGCCTGGCAGAACAACAAGAAGCAACAGGAGATTATCGCCGAGTCTGAACTGGGTAGCTGGCATAACTCAATGCCAGCTGAAATCACCTTTCAAGTCCCTTCCCAAATATGCATGTCAAACTTCGACCTAAGCATGTGCCTTCGAGTGCGTCGAGCGGAGGGTCCGAGGCTTCGACTTCACCAAGCTGCTCCAAATTCGCTTCGTCAACGCATCTGATTTTTCTTCCGGCTGGCAAGGTCAGGTGCTCAGTTTTTGAAGCACCCGCTGGCCGCCATGCTGAAAGGATCCAGGGTGGCTTTTCCAGCCCTCGCACCACAAGCAGTCAACTGCCATAGACTTGGCTCCGGAATGCTGCCCAGGACGGCTTCGGATGGCCGCTACAGCTGTACGCCTTTGGAATGCTTCGCAACGGCACGATGCGAGACATCCAAGTGTTCTCGCTACGCTGGCCCACTTCGGCCCCTCAGCTCACGTGGTGCCTTTCTCCTCGCGGCAACATTCCAGGTGATGGAAGAGAGGGTAGAAGCGCATGGTGCTGATTGTGAACACGTCAGTGCCGGCGGTAGGCAGGCATGCACGCAGGGAGATATACATACCCCGATACAATGCCACCCGAACATATACATACAAACACACATGCACATATGCAGATACACATGTGCGCCTGCATATATTCAGCCATATTGACATTGGAAGCTGGCACAGCCAACTGCAACAAGAAGCGCAAAATCAAGCTTGATTCATGTGCATGCAGACTAGCACAGCCAGCCGATACATGCCCAGGGTTGCAGACTTGCAAATGTGCATGTTCAACAGCGCATCAAGGCATGCATCCGCATTTGCACGCTCACCCAAGGTGTCCCCCATTACCTGGCCGTTTCACCGACCCTGTTGCTTCTGCGGAACCGACAGCTTGGACCTCATCCGAGCCTTCTGACGTGTCATCCAGACTTCTCTCGAATGAAGACTCTGAAGACCCTCCTGACTGGAGCTCGCTGAATCCTACCATCGATCGAACATGCCCAGTCACACGATAACGGCCTGGCCGTACGATCTTGGCTCATGTCCAGTCCGAAACTGCAATGGTTACGGCTCCCAAATCAGAACCTTCTCGCAGATTTTCGCGCTCGCTGAAAACTTAGTGCGCCCATTTAGGGGGCAATGTCAAGGGCAAGCTAAAAGTCGGTATCATGCTGGCAGGTGCAGGCCCTGCCACTCACCTGCAAGAATACAGCGCTGCTGCGAAACGAGTTTTGTGGTGAAGAAACACGCAGCACTGAACCATGGACGAGGGTTACTGGCGGCGGCGCTGAAAGACATCACGAGCCGGCATCTGTCCGGCACATGCAGGACGAACCACTTCGGCCAGGCATTTCAACTCCTCTGATCCATATACATCGCGGCTGAACCTGGACCCGACCTTGCAAAACCTAGCAAGCAATCAGAAAATTCCAATTTCCTACAGAAATGAAGAGATTGCGTCTTGATGTCTGCCTGTACAGATATTTACATACATACATACATACATACATACATATATATATATATATATATATATAATTTTGGATATGTATATATATATATATATATATACATGTATATATATATATATATGTATGTATATATGCATATATTAACATATAAGTATAAGTATAAGTATCTTTGCCCTATGCACGTATGTAGGCCTGTAACAAGCTGTGCATGTACGCAGGCGTGTACATGCATGCATGCATACATACAGGCACTACATACATCCATACGCATGCCTACACACATCCATGGTACATGGACTGGTACCGTACTTGAATACTCTCCATCAGAACTACGGAGGCCAGAATCCAGCGTGTAGGATGCGCCCTGGACGCTAAGCCTGCATGTGCTTTCCAGCGAGGTGCCAAGTGCGAGCGTCCACGAAGTTGGGGAAACCGGGGGAGATCAAGACAGGCCATGCTTGATGCCGCGGGGGGGGTTTGACACGGCTTTCTGTGCAGGCATTGGGGGCAAGTGCGAAGTTTCTACCGTCCAGCGATGGCATCTCGCAGAGACTTTTGCAAATGCTCCTGGCAGCTCACTGACGAGCAGAAGACCCTGCGTCCCTCAAAAGTCAGGGATACTTTACAGGCTTCTCCGCCCCTCAGCGCTCAGACTGCATAGTGCAAAATGGTCAGCTCCAGGACGGAGCTCGCCTTTTCAATTTTCGGTTCAAGGACTTTCTGGCTAAAGGGCATATACTATACTGCCCCGGCTTTGCCATAAGTTTCTGCCGCCACGTGCCCAACATCGCAGTGGGAATGGTAGAATCGGGTAACCTGCAAGTCCAGGCCCCGGCCGGCCTCCTTCATCTTGACCATGAGCTCCTGCTTTTGTGATCAGTTTCATCACCGATGCCCGGGTTGAAAACCGGGCAGAGACAAATGACAACCAACTACTCGTCAATACTGGTCCGCCACAGCGAAGACGACGACGATCGACGACCGTAACAACAACACCACCATCACCAGCACCGCACCAGCAGCAGCAGCAGCAGCAGCAGCAGCAGCAGCAAAGCAAGAACAACAGCAAGCAAGAGAAACAGCAACAGTAAGCGAACCAGCAACAGCTAATCCTCTGACCTCGCTCCTCCTACTCTGCCCTCCCTCCTCCTCATCCTCTTCCTCCTCATCCTGCTATGCCATCTTCCCCTTCCCCTTCCCTCATCCTACCGGGCCCCGGCGACAACGACTGACTGCGACGGACCGGGACTGCAATGGAACTCGGCAGATCTGCGACGCAGGTGCTTCGACGTTGGAAGCCCTTTGGCACGTTTATTTGCAGCAACTACTTATTCCTCATGTCACATACCAAGCCTGTCCGTTTTCTGCTTTGCCTGAAATCCATCTCGTCCCAAAGCCATGCAACACCTTGCTTACCCCAGAAGACGTCCAAATATGTCGCGCAAAAGTGTTGGCTCTCCTCAGGAGCTCCCCGGGTGCCGTTTACCGCCACGATGCGGTCGTGCGCTTGTACAGCCTCCTCTGGAGTTGCCTGCGGTGGGCCTAAAGGACACCATTGGACGATGCTGCAAGCAGATGAACTACAGACGCCGGAAGCGTAATCACGTTGGGCTGGGGTGGAGGCGGCAGTTCTTGACAGACTCAATACTCCGTTGTCAAGGACACCTGCATCTACAGCGACGATTGAGGGCAATGTTCAGGCTACATCGATACACTGAAAGTAGATGCAGGACACCATGAGTCGCTTCCTGAAACGAAATCCGAACGCAAAAATGAAACACGTATGTTTCCTGCGAGCTCCTTTGAGCATCAGTGCTGGCCTGGTTCCACTGATGCAGCAAACCAGTGCTGATCTTTGAGATCCAGGGGCATACCGACCCGGCCTGCAAAGCTTCCGTGATCTTGAAAAGAAGACACGCTCGACTGGCAGGATTAGGGCGAAGTTCAATCAACGCTCGGTAAAACGCATGAGTTGACTCCTGTCGTCTGTGCACAACAAATGGTTTCAAACCAGTGCAACTAAAACAGTTTCTACACAATGGCTGCCACATGCATCACAGGCCGGAAGGCTGACACCCTTGTCTGCTGTCGCACCTTCTTGTAGTTTAAAACCACGCCAATCTCACCCGGTCGGTGCAAGGTCACGGTCCTGCATCGAAGGAGCTAATGCCTTGCCTTCGCAATATAGCAGCAGCAGCAGTCGTAGTGGTGGTGGGGTGGTGGTGGTGGCGGCGGCGGCGGTGATGGGGGTTGTAGTAGGAACAGCAGCAGCAGCAGCAGCAGCAGCAGCAGCAGCAGCAGCAGCGGCCGCCGGCAACGAATTGCGACTGCGGCAAAGCGGTCCATACGGTCGACACCAACAACACAACCAGCAGCCACGGAGGTGAACATCCCTCTCGGTCAGCCGTTGCATTACGATTGCGTGCCATGTTCCCTTGAGACAGGACAGGTTATGTCGCGACTACGCTGTTGTGGAATCTTCGCCTGCGTCTGCCACTTTCCTCATTCCTGGTCCTGTTGTGTTGCCTATTCGTCCCACCATCCCAGATCCCTGCATCCTCTCTTCCGGCCGCTGGATCGTCACAGAGAAAACCTCCGGGACGATTGGGGGCTTTCAAGGCTTTGAGATGAAGTGGATGAGGGCAGCACAGTGTGTTGGAGGCAGTCGGTCGAATCCACGAGCCAGGTGGTCTCAGCGCTGTTGCTGCTGCTGCTGCTGCTGCTGCTGCTACCGCTGCTGCTTGTTGTGGTTGCTCTCCCTGGTGGTGCGGCTGTTGCTACTGCTGCTACTGTTACTGCTTTTGTTGCCGTTGCTGCCGTTGCTGCCGTTGCTGCTGCACAACTTGCTGCTGGTGCTGCGGTCGTTGTCGCTGCAAGCGTGAATGTTGTTCTCGGTGTCATCCATGCACTCCGTTCCTGTATCACTAGCACTGCACTCATGGTCGGGCAGTGTTGCTTCTATGGTTCCATTATTGCTGTTTCCTTTCGTTGTTGATATCCGTTGACAGTCAGGACTCAGGACTTGAGACTAATGACCACGAAGAAGACGACGGAAAACGCCTCTTCTTAAGTGATTAACGCGGAAACCGCGGACCAACCATGATCCACTGCGATTCACTTCTAAACTCTGCACGCTAGAACTCCACCCTCTCGCTTCATATACCCTCTGTCGCTTCAGATTCCCCTGGTACGGCACACCCATGCCGCACCTCAGTTTCTGCTGCCAAAGCCTTGGCAAGCTCGAAGGAAGGGCCTGGCACGGACATTCCAAACTCGCAGAAATTTCAAAAACTGCGACCGCTACTATCAGCATGCGACTTTGGCTGGCATTGGAGCTGCTCGGCTTAGCAAACTATAAGGTCTACAGTCTACACAATGTCCGTAAAGACTGATTCGCAGCTACTGCAAGTCGACACTTTGCATCCTCACACAGTGTCTCCTGCAGAAATCGAGCCTTTGCATCCATTTACCTCAATGACGCGGTCGTACCTGCCAGCAGCTGGCGCTTGCATGTGAAGCTTGTACCATCGAGGATGTTGCATTACCATAGAGAGCTTGCTGCACAACACCCTCGTGCAGCAAGCCTATCAGATCAGCCTACAGACAAGTCTCTGAAGACAAACCCCGACAAACCCATGCTGCAGCGTCTGCCGTGAGTGCGGAACGATTGCAAGCTGCTTCCTCTGCTGAAGGTGTCTCAGCTTACTCTTCTTGTACAGGCTGTTCTTCTTGTACAGCCAAGGCACAGCTTCACCCGCTTCGCTTCCGAGACTGTCTTGTTCCACTCTGCCAAGCTGCCCGTGGTCACGTCCTCCACTCGGGTGGCTGCCCACGGGCTTGCGATCATTGACAGGCGAAGATGAGCAGTCAGAGCAGCTTAAGTAGAAGGCACACCCGCAGCCGTGCGATGGCGATGGAAATGGGCTTGAAAAGACAACAACTACACAAGATACAGCGCCAGAGTTAAGGAATCACCTACGCTGGCTGGCCCGCCAAGGGCAGTCGCGCTGGTCCTTGATGATGGCACAATCTGCATCCGTCACATCCATCTGCGTCGATGTCAGTTTGGGCTTGTTTTTTGTCGGGTGGAAAGTGGGCTCAAGCGTGGCTAACAGCAGCACTGGCATGGCTGACGCAGAACAAGATCGCGGAATTGCCCATTCTGGGTCAGCCGAAAAGTCTGGTCCAATGCTGTATATTACAAAGAACCCTCACTACATCGCGCACATCAATCTCGTACTGGTTTAGGCTTGTAAGGGTGCCATGTCAACCGCCGGAGGGTGAACATTATGAACAAAGAAGTAGAAGCAGCAGTCACGGAAGATTCAAGAGACGCTTGCCAAATCGCCCCATGTCGCCCACATCCACTTAGTCGACCGCCTGCACACCATGCCCGCCCTCAGCGTGCCGGCCAAGCGACACAGTAAATACCTCGGGCAGCAGTAATGCATCGTCGTCTCCATGCATGCAATGTTTGACGGAAAACGGTCAATGATTGTCGGCGAGTTTCAAGCAGAGGGCAAGCCCGACCACGGCCGTAGCGTATCCGACTTTGACTTCAACGATCGAAGATCGGACTCGCAATACGAGACGACACATGTAAAAATGTCAATACGTAGGTCCAGTCCCTCGACGTTACATGTCGACCTGACCCAAGCAGTCTTCCAGAACCGATGTCGTATGTCTGACCAGAACCAGCAGCTGGCAGTCAACACTTGTCCTTTTCACAGCGTCCGGACATCACCCCCAAATCTGAGCAAGTGACATCGGGAATGGCATCCGGCTCGAAGGCGGGAGCCGCCCTTGGGATGAGATCGGCTGACTTCGCATCCCACCAGGTTTGAGAACCGGGCGGAACTTGACAAACTGGACGAGCTGGCTACTTCGCCACACTGAGAATGGGGCTTGACGAAGCCCGCCTCTCGCAAGGGATCCTGGCTCAGAGCTGTTAAGCTCGACGGGGCAATCATATCAACTTGGAACATTTGCCCGATACTGGCTAGTCGTTCAACCGTGCACACCTCAATGCCCGAGTTCTGAATCCCTCACCAACCTTATCGGTGTCTTCTTCAGCTGCACAGCAGCACCACATGGCTTGGTATGCACCTTCCAGCTGCTTACTGGAATCAGTTCCCTCAGCGCAGGCACCCTCCAGCTGGGGTCCAACGCTGGGACAACTGCCCAGCCTATCTGGTTCTAGCTATCGCACACCATCCCCCAAATCCATAAACTCAAAAACCAAATGGCGTCTTTCCCGGAATCCGGGCCCCTCGCTGGGTGTCTTCAACAGCCAGCCTTTGGAATCTCTGGCATGGGTGACATGGGTGTTTGAATGGGGTTTGGTGGACTTGGTAAGCGGTAGGATGAGCGGCTTCTCTGTCTCACGCATCGCTTGAAGCGTACAGAGTACCACTCCCTTCACAGAACTCTCTGAAGTCAAGCACGCCGAGCAAGCTAGCAGCTAGTGTTTCATGCGAGCGGCACGAGGAGGCCGCAAGCTGCAATGCCTGCACGCCAAGCGGTGCGGGTCTACAGTACCGCGGCCATGCAAACCCCAATGACCCCCTCACATCCTTTGAACACCCTCAGCTGCAGCCGAAGTGCCGCAAGGATTCAAGCACCAGGAGCTCGAGCCACGAAACGTTTGCGGTTTGCTCCGCTTCTGTGTTGAGCTGCATCGATTCCCAGAGTCCAAGAAGCAGAATGCAAAGGTGTCTGCCGAGGTTCTTTAGTTTATCAAGGCGATTCAACACTCCTCCAGAGCACGCTGCAGTCCGCACCTTCAACGTACTGTCCCCAAGAACGAACTTCTACTGGGTGTACCGTCCCCGAGAAAGTGTCGGTCCTCTTTTCAACATCCTGTATCAAGGGCGGCTTCCCGCAGCAGACTAAAGAGCGCAGTTGCTGACACAGCGGTGGGCTTGCCGTTCAGACGATAGCTGAAGCCAATGCTTAGCACAGCCCTTGGAGCTTCGGTGCGGGTGCAGCTACTCCATAAGACCTGTGCTTCATCACTTGTGGGCCTCAATAGAAGCTAAGTGAACGCAAAGGGGACACCAAAGAGTGGCACTAAGGCTTGTAGGCTGCTGCCTGGACTCACCTCAGCGACTGACGTGCACACCCACTGCTTCATATGGGCCGCAATCGCAAACTCCGCAAATCCTGAAGGATGGGAGAAGTGCACTTCGTGCAGTTCCCATCAGATCATCACCGACGAAGCGGAACCCTGCGTGCTAGGTCCCCAGGGGTGGTGTAATGTGTACAAAGGCAGACGCCAATTTTTGAACTTGAACAAGACCCAGCCACCCAGCCTGCCAATATGTGCGTCGGTCTTTTTGCCAAAAGCACTCGCCGGGCTCCGCTTCGGACCCTTGGCGTCGCTTCACGCTGTGGCCGCCGGGTGCAATGGAGCCCTGAGCCCTCTCAATCAGTGGCCTTCTTGCTACTGATACTGCTGTTGCTGTGGTGTGACTGGTTCTCTGCATTGCTTCGCTTGGTGAAAAACGAAGACGAAAGCAATGATGAACAAAACAAGCTCAGACATGATGACCTGCATTGCTCTGAGGTCCGGTTGAGTTGCAGGTTTCTTCTCGGCGCTCTGTCGCTATTACTTGAACGCGTCAAATCACAGTGGCCGTGATCGGTCCAAATTGGTATGCTAGCACATATAATTATATAATCCAAGACAACTTTTGCGATTTATGTGGAGCGACGTGTGGGATCTGCGGCTCTTCTCCGCAGAGAGCCTATGCATGCCAATATGTACTGCACTGTATCACGTGCCAACTCTTCTCAGGCTCTGGATTTGTGGTTGCTTCGGGTCTCGGGATTTCAATCGCTGCTGCACTAGAAGCTGAAACCTTCAACTCATCACAAAACCGAAGATATAAAAAAAGAACAAGCACTCGGTCTGTCATCCATCTTCTGCAAGACAAGCCGATGACTAGCTGATCTGCAAATGATCTAGATGGCTGTAGAAGCAGGGCACCTGACGACTGGGCTTCCCTTGCAATTTTCTGTGGCCAGGCCTAAAAGCCAGCACGTCCGTTGAAAAACAGCGTAGGTTGCCCTTGAACACGAAACCCGAATCAAGCACAAGTGGCCAAACGTCTGAGCCATGTCTGCTGTAGATTGTATGGAATGGTTTTCCACTTAGCTGTCGTCAACTGTCTGCAACTGGTCGTAAAATTCCACATGGCCATCCCTAGCAGACGGTACTAGACCTTCAGAAACTAGTCTGAAAATGCACCGTGTCGAGTTTTGGGTTCAAGGGACCAATCGAGTCGATACCCTTGAAGATAGTCCTCACCCTGGAGCTTCAGGACTCAACAACATCCACGTCCCGGGGGGTCCAACTTCAGGCGCAGGTTCTGGTGTGGGCCCTCTTCTGCAACACAAGCACCAGCAACAACGGACTGAAAGCAGCTGCAGCAGCAGAACTAGCAGTCAACACTCCAACCACCACCAATCCACCCTGCATACCACTACCACCACTACTACCACTACTCCCACGACGACGACGACGACGACTACCACTACTGCTACTGCTACTGCTACTACTGCTACTACTGCTATTACTGCTACTACTGCTACTACTGCTACTACTACTACTACTGCTACTACTACTACTACTACATCTGGAACTGCCCCTGCAACCTACAGTTCCTGCTGCTCCTGCTACTGCTGCTGCAGCGGCTACTGTTACTGGCACTGCTGCTGCTAATCCTACCGTTGCTCCTAGTCCTGCTCCCCATCGCTGAACACGTAATTGGTGATACATCTAGATCTGGTTTCGTACTCAAACTGATGATGCTAGTCGATTTGTTTTCATCGGGGAGCTATGCGTTGGCTTGAATGGCAACTTTCGCTGAAGTTGTGCCGCAAAAGCTTCTCGGAATAGGGTTTCTGATCCGAAGAGCAAGGACAAGATTGTCTTGAGGCGATGGCCTAACCTAGCACGAGGGTCATTTTTGCCCGAAGCTCCAATGTCAATGTCGCTACTGTGCTGCTCCCGTTGACAACCATAAGTCAGGGACAGGCCCGCTTATCGGGACTCTCAAGCGCCCAAATTCCATCTGGCGAAGCACCATCTCATCCCATCTTTGCAAACCTGGAAAGTCGTGGTCCCCTTCGAGCACGGAGATGACAGACAAGAGCCAAGAGCCCGGAAACTGGGCGAGAAAAGTAACGACTACCTAGAATAGAAATGCAAGAAAATGCCCAGCACGGAGTCTGCACAATCTTGCCTTGACATCTCGACAGCCCCCGAAGCCGACTATGCCGGCTAGCACTCATGGCACAGTACTCTTGCGAAAATCTGACGTCAAACAAGCCTGACGGGGGTGAAAAGATTTGGCTGCTGGGGCACCACTGAAGCCTGTCTCGAAGCATGCTCGAATCCAAAAAAGCCCGATAAGACTGCATGCCGTGTCCGACGAAGCACCATGCCATTGCCGAATTGCACCAGGCTCGAGACATGTTTTGGTGCGCCAGCGCTAGTCTTCAGCTGCATAATGCAAAACCGATAGCTCCAGCAAAGTGTTGCACTCTTTCCTGAGCCAAGGGCTGTTTACAGAGCTCTCTTGGACTTTGGACTTGGGTTCAGGGTCCTGGAGACGGTTGGAAAACTATCAGCTTTAGAATCCTGATCGGTGGACTCTTCGACCAAGTGATGGCAGCATCGGACTCAAGACCACAGCCCCAACTCTGGCATGCAGATTCACTTTGTCCGCAGTTGGTCGCAACAGACACTTCACAATTCTCTACTGTTCGCCTGGCACAGCAAAACATTGGCCTCCTTGCCTTGTACGCACTCCCGTCTGAGGACATGTTTGTTTAGTGGCACACTCTGCACCTGGCCCCATGGCACCATGGCCGCATGGCCCCAAGCAGCCAAGGCACATCTTCAGCCTTGACACATCAGGCACTGCTTTCCCCCACGACAGCAAGCCAAAAACTTCCGATCAAGCTCGGTCAAGGTAAAGGCAAGTTACCAAGAAGTTGCGTGCAATCGAACCATGAAGTAACGTTCGCAGCGCTGGCAGAATTCTCTTCCCGCCACGGCACAGCATCTCTTCCGGTCGACCCTGTGCGCCGTTCACGGCCACGATACGGTCGTGGAGCTGAACTGCCTGCGTCAAAGTCCCAACGCGGAAGGTGGACAATTCCAACTACAGGCTGCGTGCTGGGAAGGACTAAAAACAAGACACATGCAGCCAACAACAGAAGGACTAAAGAGAGCCAGGACTGGGACAACATGGCTGCCGGTCCCCTGAAAGGCTCTAGAATTCGAACTCACCGAAAAGCAGTTAGTTCGACAACTTGCTCCTTCGCTTCCGACCTGGGAACCTGCACATCTCCAGACCCTCAATTCACAAATCACGGCCTGGTCTGGCATCTCTTGGTTCCATTTCGTCAGCAGTCCTTTGGCAGGTGCAAGACAACGTATGTCCGTTTCCGAAAGACCGAGCCCACTAGCAATGGCACATGCTGGCGGTACTACTTCACATGGAACATGATAGTAGAAGCACTTGTGCAAGCAGTCGTCGTCGTGGTCATTGTCGGTGCCACAGTTGTTCATGTCGGAGGTTGGTCAGGGTCGTTTTGTTTGTTTTGTTCATCTGGCTGGAGAAGAGTCTCGCTTGAGCTAGACAACCCACGATAACTGTCTGCTTCTTCCCCCTCTCGTCCTATCTCGTCCTGGCCTTATGCCTGTTGTATGCAGCATCTCTCGCAGTATTCTGCCAACTGGCATCCTTATCGTCGTTCTCATTCCTCTCTTGTCATGAACCCTTGCAGGCAAACTGTTGTTGCTAGCAGTGTACGATATGCGTAATTTCCATGGCTGTTGCTGCTTCTCCAGGGCCTTCCTCCTGCGACCACTACCAGTTAGTATCATCAGTACCACGACGACGGATGCGACGACGACTCGCTGCAACTATGTGGCTTACATAAGGGGTCTTGTGCATTGAGCCTTGTTTCTTGCAAATTCTGTTTTGCACCTTGTGCCCTGTTGCGAAGGTGCCAAACGAAAACCATGAGGATGATCGTCCTCGTGCTCTCACGGTACCGATTGCCCCCTACAGAAGTTGTAAAAACAGATGCACAAGAGAAGCACAGAGAATCCCTTTGTTCATCTTGCCCGCCAAGGTGCCTGGCGTGATCTTCGAAATCCACGGGGCAGCTGAACCAATCTGGCCGAACTTGTCAGTTTCTGTTGCAGCAACAGCAAGCAACTGCGAGAGAAACAAGGCAAGAAAGAATCAACAACAGCTCATCTGCCTGTCTTGCACTGGCAAGCTGCTGTGCAGCTAACAAGACAACAAGTCGGATTGGATCAATTGCTCTTCAACTCCTGTTGCTGCTGCTGTGATCTTCCATAGCATTGCGTCCCCTTTCCCTAGCTTCAAGCCATGAGCCGCAATGCCAAAACCAACTCGCGCCTTCTTGTAGTTTAACACCATCCCAATCTCTCCAGGGCGTTGGAGCTTCAGTACCCTGGCGGAGGTTCTGCCTATGAAGTCTTCCATCGGGCTGCGTGTTCGGGCGGATTCCTTGCTGCGTGGCTGCGTGGCGCGGCAGATTCGTTCTTTCTACATCACCAACCCAAAGTCCGCTAAGCTTAACACACACTAGCTGGATAAGGATTTACGTCGAATGCTTGCCTGTACCGCACAAACCCCCTCTCATGGCAAAGGTCCAGCTGCAGACAGCTTCACATTCATCATTCAGCATTGAAGGATGATTCCAAAGACTTTCTGCCAAGACCTCTGTTCGGGCCGTTGTACGACGATGTTCAAGGTGTCGGAAAGGTCCAGCGCCTGAGCCATGCAATGAACTTCGCACTTGCGGGCTTCACAAGCCGAGCCTGTCAGCACTGTTCCTTTCAATGTTTTCGAACTGTGGCGTTGAAGCTCCATTGTCAGGTTCTCAGCGCCTTGGCGATGTCAATCGCCGGGCCCTTGATACCATTCACTTCCACGATGCGATCTAGCCTCGGCCAACACTGCATGGAAAATGTCAAAATTAGAAATTGCAAGGACTTCTTCCTGCAGTTCCAGAGGTAGTGCGATCTTGTGGCAGACCCGAAACGAAGACTTCATCACTAGCAACAAGTCGCGATCCTTGCTTGCTTTACCCTTTTCATGGCATTAAACCAGAAGGAGTCCATACTAGCGCCGTGCCAAGGATCTTCTTAACTTTGAGGTCTGGCTTGTTCTGGTTCCAATTATCGATGGCTCCCCCCGGCAGAATGTCCTTCGGGCGTCGGTATACATGAGACTGGTGCCCTGATGACACTTCTCTCTTCTTCAACAACCGGGCCACAAAAAGTTCAAACTGTCTAAGATAGAGCTAATATATAAGGCCAAAAAGTTTAAAGTTCCCCCGCTCACTATCTAAGACTTCAGGCGCATAGCTAGACCAATTACATGCATCCTAACTCCATGCTGCGGAAGGAAGTCGCCCGTCCGTAAACTTGAAAGAACGGTGGGCAGGATCTGCCGAGAACTTGAAACCCCGTCCCGACTCCAATACGGAGGGTCCTTGATGACAGTGCACACGGGATTCGTAGCATCAACCTGCAATGGGCTGGAAGTTCAATGTGGCTTGCAACGTTTGGGTGACAAAGATCTGCGCAATTCGGCATGCATCGCGAACGAAGGACCTGCTGTCTGACAGAGCTGCAACCAAATGCTTCAGAAGGTCAAAAACGAAACCAAGTCCGCAGGCTACGATGCCGCAGTGCCTGCAGCCCATGCTTCCCGTCGGCAGGCAACAACTCAGCTGCAAAGGCTTGTGTCCACGATCTGGTTTAGATATGAAGGGGCTGCCATCTGGCGTAGACTACTCAGGAGTACTGGGGACTCTCTCGTGGCAAGTTCGGAAAAACTGCATTCTGCAGCATAACAATATGCAAAACCAAGTCACCAACAAGCCTCCAGTGTGTGATTCTCAATAGCTCTGCTGAAACCCAACGTGAAGGCGCCTTGATGGTGAAGGTGTCCGGGACTGCATCCGGATCAGTCATTGCTGGGGCGGTCCTCTGAACATGACACCCGCTCTCCTACGGACCTGAGACCCTGAAGTGCCGTGCCACCTGGGCCTTGTGGCAGCCGAGGCTCTGCACCAAACCCTTGAAGTGCTCCTCAGACATCTTGCTCGCTTCTTTCTCCTCTTCCTCGGAGTAAGCAGGTTTCGCGCTCCCAAGGTTGGTTTCATTCGTCTCGGGCTTCCTATCATGTACCTCATCAACAGCACATGCACAACCTGAGAGTTCTCCAGACTCCAGATCGGATCAAGATGCCGCTGCGCAGCAGCAGAACCTGGCCCGACACAGTCGTGAGGGACAGGTGCTTCGTCTGGTTTTAACGTGCGTCAGAGCGCTCCGAGGTACCAAGCGGAACACAGCTGCAGCCGAGAAGCAACATTGTGCTCGAGGATGCTGGGCCCGGGTCCCGTTAGGGAGGCCCGCGGCAAAGGAGAATTGCACCCTGAATCCTAGGTCCTTGCCCTCTGAAGCTCTCTGAGCGCTAAAGCAACCTCTGAGAACCTTCAGCTAGGACAAGTTGTGAGCATCTGGTCACGGTCTGTAGAGAAGCACCGTATCAGTCTTCGACCCGCCCTGCTGCAAGCCAAAACAGGAGATCACCGGACGTGTCCGCTGGCCTGTGTAATCAAAACATCGTGGGCGCCGTCAAATATCAACCAACCGATAAACTTTATTCCTGGATTCCACGGCCACCTCAATCTTGGCGTCTCTCTGCACTAACTTGGTCTCATCTCATCAGACACACGACTACCATTTAACATGGATGATCTGGTTTCCAGAATTCGCTGCCCTTTCGGCTACCTGGCTACCTGTTGCCAATGTCGAAGCCAAATGATGCACGACATCTTCAAACCATCAAGCTTCTCTCGCAAATCTCAACTCGAACCCGTCTTCCGTTCCTACAAGCCCCGGGTCCTTTCTCGCTTCCTCAGTTATCCAGAACAGCCATTGGCTTCATGGTTATCGGGCCGGCTGGTGAGAAGGTCTGACACCTGGCATGAACATGTGGAGCTGCACTCCCTCGTTTGCACAGAGCAACCGGGGCACCAAGAGCACCCTCTTCTCGTGAAGCTCCTGCTGCAGGAGCACGGATATTGCAAAAATAAGCGAAGAGTGGAAAGGCACATGTCAGCCCGTGGCTTTAATGTTTCCCCCATCCTGGCGCTTTGCTTTGCTTTCTGCCAGCATGGCCCGCAAGTGCTTCAAGCGATCCTCAAAGCAGGACGTACTTCGTGGATGAGTTCTTTGCATGCACTTCATCTTCAAGTTGAACTGGTATCGGCACCACAGCAATATTCAACCATGAATCCAGCACTCCCAATGCACAGTTTGTTAAAACAGCTTTCCGTTGCTCTTACATCGCAGCCCCAGTACGACAGCTTCGTCCCAAACACGACCACAACTCCCTCGTGCCGATGTGCCCAAAGATCCACCCGCTCGGAGGTCCACTGCTTCTCTTCCGCTGCCATGGCTTTCCTCAACTGTGGAGTTTTTCGGTTGCGGCTGAAAAAGAGGGCCTGCCTGCCCAGCTACTCGCGCTCCTTCCGTCCCGCCAGTCTTCCAAAACGAAGCTGAAAAGTCACCCTGCTGGTAAAGAACATACCATCACCATCATCACGAAGACTCGCAAATACTGGTGGGTTCTGAGCCCTGTTCTCGAAGTTGCCGATCTCCTTCGTCGCGCTCAGGATCTCGGCCTGGGCCTCCACACGCAAGGTCTGGCTGTCTCCAGCAAAAAGTTTGTGGAGCATGTCTTCAGTACATAGGTACATGCATCCACCCCCACACCGAGCTGAAGGCTCCGTCCGGGCCGTCAGACCCTGGCGGCACCCTTTAGCTCGCCACAACTCACAAACTTGCAGTGCAAATCTACAACCCCTTGTGTGCAATAAATCAGCTCCCGGCATCCCTTTCTTTCAGATGTGTAATTATATGTGCATTTGTCTTCATTCTCTCGGCACATACATACTTACATACATTTTTGTCACTCGTGCTCGACAAGTCAGACGAGGTTTGACAAGACTACACATCAACTCAAGACGTCCAAGCATGCACATTGGCACACCCCACTTTACATTACATTAACAAGGAGATGCTCAGATGCCATTCACGTCACTATAGCAAACTCTTCCACACAAGAGAGCTCAAGGCCCACATTCTCAATGCAGTGTTTGAGAGCTCCCATCGCGATATTTGCAAAGAACTCATAGTAAACCCTGCAGCCTTCCGCGTGCCTGTTCAGAGTATCAAGCGATCCCATGCTCAACCATCCAGACATCAGGGAACCCACGCCCCACTGACCAGCGCAGACATGGGCAACTGGCGGTCAGGCCCACGTCTTAAGCCCTGCGACTGCCAGAGAGAAGGGTCGTTTCAGCCCCCTGTAATCTGGCAGCATACCAGGCTCATCCCCAGAAATCAATACCAGAATAGGCCAGCTAACAAAACATGCAGCTGCGCTCTTTACCAGTATGTTTTCCCTGCAGGAAGGCCACTCCAGAGGTATGGGCAACTGGCGGTCAGGCTCACGTCTTAAGCCCTGCGACTGCCAGAGAGAAGGGTCGTTTCAGCCCATTGTAATCTGATCAGCATACCAGGCTCATCCCCAGAAATCAATACCAGAATAGGCCAGCTAACAAAACATGCAGCTGCGCCCTGTACCAGAATGTTTTCCTTGCAGGAAGGCCACTCCAGAGGTGATCCAGGCCCAATCAGAAGCAGGAGCAGAAAAGCTGTCCTATCGGCGGTCTCGTTCTCCTCACCCCAAACCTTTTCAGGAGGATCATATGGTCCTTCGTGCCAGGAAGCCAGCTGAGGGCGCATTCTTCACAAGAGCGTCCAGGAAGGCGCACACCACGGTATACCATGGCTGTTTGACTACTTTCTAGTGTCTACTCGGCTTTGTAAAGGCCTCCTGAGGTCCTGTCTTGTTACTGGGGGATACACCCCATGCGTCAGTGACTTCTGGCGTCTTGGCCTGCATTGAATGCAAGGGATAGACCTTGCTGCCAGCCTCAAAGGGGGGCGAGGAGGGGGAAGAGACCACATCACCCATGCACCACCACCCGAGTTGCAGCAGCATCCATCCATACCAAGCACATCCCGAAAGTTAAAAGAGCAAAACACACAGCACCATCATGAAGGGCCCAAGCATAAAAGGAAAGCCCATCAGCCGTTCATCAAGGTTTTCATCATACTGCATGCGTACATACGAGCTCGCAAGCGAGTTTGTTTGTTCGACTTTGGCGGTCATAGTCCCGGTATGTGGAGCATATCTACATATACAAGGCGCCAGCTCAACGTCGAGGGGACCCCGAAAAAGTGGACCTGGATCGCCGTAAGCCCTTTCAGGACTTGATTGGACCCTGCCAAAGGCCTCAGTACTCTCCCACGAAGAGGTACAATGGCAGGATGAGTAGGAGCAAAGGAGCCTGTACTCGGCAGTGCAAAGAAAAAGAGGCGGAAATCAAAACAGTGCAAGGAAGGCAAGGAAAGGCAGCGCAGCGCAAAAAGAAAGGGGCAAGGAAGTCAGTGCAAAAAGCAGTGCAAAGGGAGCATCAGTGCAAAAAGGTGAAACATGCGTCAACGTGGCAGAGCCCAGACAGTACATGGAGTGTGAAGACAATGGTACATGAAAAAGGAACGAACTATAAAAACAACAACATATCATTACTGTCGGGATGCATCGGAAGGGGCAGCTACATGTGCCCTTGCTACCCGTGCTGGACAGCTGCGGCAGGAACTGGATAGACCTGTCCATTCCAAACCAGGTTCACCATCTCGCCTGCAGAGGCACTGTTGGTCCCCCCTTGCATGCTCATCGGGTACGGTGCTGGACCCGGAGTCATGGGCGAGTTGGTCGGAATACCACACGCACCCTGGAAGCCTGCACCCCCAGGCTGCAAAAGTTGGGCATGCGGAGCCAACCTCATCGTCGGAGCTGGTATCGAAGTTGGGCGAGTCTGAGTAGTTGCTCCCAGACTTGCTGAGGAAGGCTGCCATTGTCCCGGTGGTTGTGCCGGAGGCGGGAGTGGCGCCTCGTCTGAAGGCAGGTTCGGCGCCGGCGTATTGGGGGGCGGCGCCTTCGGTCTGGTTGCCGCCAGCTTGCTGGTGGACTGCTCCACCGCCACCAGCTTGGAGAGCGCTGTTTCCATGCGCCCTTCCACATACTGGACCTGCGTCTGCAACCTGGAGTATACATGCATATACACACACACACACACATATATATATATATATATATATATATATATATGGTCAGGCGTCTGGCGTTCCCAGCCCCCCCCCCCCCCCCAATGGTATGGTCTGCTAGGGGTGGGGGGGGGGGGGGCTGGCGTGTGCGGAAAGGGGTCGGGGCTGTTGGAGCTGCCACTGGATGGTGGGGTGGTGCTGGCGGCCAGGGCTCGCACGCAAGCCCTTCGCAAGCAAGCCGTAAACCCTATAACGCAGCGCGTGCTCCTGTTTTGAGTAACCTTAACTTGTACTTCAAACCCTACACCCAACCCTAAACCCCACCTAACTGCAGGCTCTAAGCCTAAAGCAGAACATACACCGCAAATCCTCCCCAAGCCCTTGTCGACTCGAAGCGCTATACCTTGTAACCGTAAACCCAACACTCAAAAGCTTAATGTAAACCCTAAACCCCAAAACCCCACAACCACCCCACAGGGGGAAGAGGAACCCCACACCCCACACCACAGGGGAGGGGGGGTCCCACCCTATATCCGGACCATTGACCTTTGGGGGGGGAGGGGGGGGGTATATATATATATATATATATACATATACATATACCTATTTTCAAGTTTTGCAGACATGGCATTCTACACAAAATACTGTCATATTCTGCAAATGTTGATACACAAGAAGTTATGCCAGCAAAATGCACATGGCGTGGATGGTGCATATTCTGGCAGCATAGAGGCACAGATTGACGGCCATGACGACCACGACAACTGATCCAACCACGACCACCACAATCACCAGAAACGCAACGACGACAACTACGACCACTGCGACCAGGACCACGAAACCACGCCACCAGGACACCACCAAGAGACCACGAGGAGATCACGAGGACACCACGGCCAAAACGCTTCCCCACAGTCTGCCGTCCTGCCTGCCTGCCTACCTACCTGGCTATCTATCTATCGACGTCACCTATCTTTCAATCTGCCAGCTTCCTCAGTTTATCCGTCTACTTATCGACCTATCTCAAGCGATTATCGCAGTGTGTGGTGTGCGAGCCCTTCCGTCTCAAAATGGTCAGAACAAATCCAGGGCCGACTGGTCCAGTGGAGATGTCAAGTCCCAACGGACAGTTGAATGAAAGGGAGTTCAGGACATCTCGGATGGTACTGGGATGCCGTTCTCAAGTCC